GTCATTAGTACTGATTAGTACAGTACATTAGTACTGATTACATAGTACAGATGAAGACTCCCAGACGTTTAGTTGGCTGATTTCCTTTTTCGAACGGTATTTTTTATGCTACCGAAGTATTCCGAAAAATTGCCAGAACTTTTTGGTCACCCTGTAGATAGGAAGGGGATGGGAGGGGCCGGATTGGGGAGAAAAACTTGAGGGGGTTGTATTTTGCAAAAGTTTCCCTTAACGGCAAATCGTGCGGTTTCCTCGAGGACACGTTCTGCGATAGACAAGAGGACGGAGACCCATAACTAATACGCCCTCATTTGCTCACTTTTGCGGCTCATCTTCTAGTAGGGGTAAAAGGAGAGGGAAGTGCCAATGAGAAAGGTACAACGGTTCCGAATCCCCCTCCCACCTTACCCATTCCGCTGTCAAGGCATGGCATGACGATGAGAAGATTCTCAAAGTAGGCTATACAAAAAGTCTTCACCAGTCTTCATTGCGATCCCCAGCTCCCGCTGAGGAGCCTCCAGTGTACGTCCTACGTTCCCTGCCCCCGCCCATTTGATTACTGCAGAATGTCCCTTCAAGCTGAACTAGAGGGCTCACCTGAAGATGTCGTATTTCCCGCATTTCCATCTCTCCAACCACTTGTATCCGGAACGCCCGCATAGTGTAATGAGCCAGTACAGTCGTCTCCAACAGTGTCACCTGAAGAGTTGCGTTGCGTAAGGGGAGGTGGACTTTCATTTGCTTACTGAATTCCAACAAACACCCACCTGGATCTCTCCATAGGTCGAGCTGCCGCGACTTGGCCAGTATTGATCGCATTTCACCCTTGAGCGCTCTTCCAGATTCGTCAACATAACAATCGTTGACGATCCTTCTTCCCACACCATTCGCCAAAAATCTCCAAACGTTTCCGGCAATGGTCCCTGGGTGGCTATATAGGCCTTGGGCTGAAATAGGCATTGTTGGGACAAAAGAACAGATGAAATAATACTAAGAAACTACCTTATCATAACCGTCAATGTAGTTCGCATTGATGTAGTCGGTACCAGGGATCCCATCGATGGAGGACAGCACCACTCGGGAATGATCGTAAGCCACCACATTAGCGTAACGATTCTTATGTTTATTAATATCGGTATTGCTGTTCTCCCACGTGAATTGCTGACCAGTTTCTATCGACTCAAATTCCTGAAAGGGTTTCTCTGAGCGATTCAGAAGATGAAAAACTCTTCGTAGGAGCTTCAGCTTCATACCTGCTGGAAGCCAGCGTTATTGTTGAGACGGAGCCGTTCAATATGCGCTGCTAATTCAGAGATTGGAACAGCTGGATGTGTGACGAGATGTCCACCTGAACAATATTTTGAGCGAAATTCTCCACAAAACAATTATTGCGCCATCTTCTTCCAGGTCTATTCCTGCCCTAGAAAAGCCTTTTTCGCTGTCTGGCCGCCAACAAAGTGGAAGCCATTCATTAGACGTTCAGCTCCGAGGCCATATCCGCAGAAAAAGAGAAATATAGTGCCCCTGAGTAGATGGCGCCAATCGATTTCCGCGACGAGAGTACCCCCATCAACATTAAGTGAGTGAGTGGAGGAAACCACATACTGAGTATTCCTCCACTGGACGGCAAACAAGGCAACGGCACTGGGACTGGGGCGTAGTTTGCTGCACCAGAACGTGATTGACTTCGTGGTAACGGGTACAGATGATCCATCGACGATTCCATATGTCCGTTTCCTTGGCCATTCATCTGTAACATATCAATATTTTGTAAAGACTGGGGCGGGGGCAGTTCGGCGATGGGGAGGGGCATTTAGCACTTTTGCTACTTCGCTTACCCAATGGCTCGACGACATAGCGTGTCCTACATCGCGAAACGCCCAACGGGGGGTCGTATTTGGTCGCTGGAGGGAGGGGTCTTTGGTCTGTGAAAACCATTTGATAGTTGATTTTTTCCCTTTCACGGGCGCTATTCACAATGTTCTTGGGAGAATTCTAATGTAGTGGTCATATCTGCTCGTCGTCGGGGAGACGATGGGAGGGTTGTATTCGCCCTTGAGAAAAGTTCGTCCCCCCCCTGCTCGCGAAAGATTCCTGGGGAAACGGAAAATTGGGAAGTTTCAGAAAATGTGGTGGGAAGTTAGGCAAAGTTAGGCAAGTTGGAAAGAGAGGCAAGACAGTAGCTAGGATGGGGAGTCGTACTAGAGGACGAGATCGGGGGAAGGGGGGGGGGGGGTGTCTACTACAAAAAGTTCCCCCAGCGGCAAGCCCAAAACTCACAGGTTTAACCAGATAGGACTTGAGAACTGGAACCAGCCAAGTAGCGAAAGTACAAAATGCTGACCCCCCCCCCTCCCCGTCGCCGAACTGCGCCAGACTGGGGTTCCATTTGAAAAAACCACTTACATGTTCATAGGGGTTCATAACAGTGCGTCCATAGGTGTCCGTAGATAGCAGCTTACTCGTCTCACCAGGAATACCGTTCATAATGTTACCAGTAAGGGCAACCTTGGTGATTGAACCATGGCGATGAGCTCTGCCAGCTGATTTCTTGTTGCAGCGGAGCCACCTAAAGAAGATTTATTTCCTATTTTCCCTGAGAATCTATTTTATTTGGGAATTTTTTTCAAATTCTTACCAGCAAACGAGCATTCCTATGAGAATTGCGATGATCAGCAAGGCGATGAGTGGGACCGATGAGCCATACACCACCAGTTTTAGCGCCAGATCGCAAAGCTGCTCGGGTAGTGAACGGTTCCGTGAGCGCCGAATCCGAATAGAGTTTGGTCAGTTTTTCACCCATTGGGGCGCGTTTGTCGAACTAAAACCGCAAATAACAAAGTGCTTACTTTAATGGAACTGTAATTAGATTGTCAGGACCGACCTCGTCTTTACGCCTTCCATCAGCTTTAGCGAATGAACGCATCATCAGTCGGTACTTTGTGTTCGGTTCTAATGGAAAGTTGTTGAATCCATTGTAGATCTGAAATGGCAGACTGAATTCAAATTCGGATTCGAACTTATAGAGGTTCATCGAGGGGGGGGGGAGAGGAATAGCTGCCAATTTCTCATGAGAGGCAAGTCATAAGCGCTAAAGTTATAAGCCGTTTCAGAGGCGGGAGGGTTGGCACGATGAATGTGGGAAACCTGGACAGCTGGCAGCAGCCAACATGGACTTTTCTCGCCTCATCGTTCAGTGTGGCGACCGAGGCAATTAGCAAATTCAATGAAATAGGAGGAAAACAAATTTGATATTGCGACGGCTATGGCCGGCAACAAACGCCGATTAGTCCCCGATGTCACGAGGCATTACTATTTCAGTCCCCGTTGGCACTATTCCATTCAAAGATGCTACTTACCACTTATATTTCAAAAACATCAGATAATCCCTACGAAATACAGGGCACATCGTTGTTGGGGAATCCCCAATAGGTGAGTAGGTCGTATTTGGTCGCTGAGGGGAGCGAGGGTAGTATTTGGTCTCAGAAAAATTTTTTTATAGTTGTATTCTGGGACACTATGGAGGTAGGGTCGTACTTGTTCGTTG